TCAAGCAGTGAAGCAACTGAAAAGCAGAAGTCAGTTTACACCAAGATCTTGACTAGGTTGGATACGTCAAAGGTATTGCCAACCCCGGGGAGATTTTAACAGATGCCCCTCATAGAAGGCTGATTCTTCACTTTAGGGGAAGAAACACGGTAATAGAGCCCAACTTAGATAGGTATCATACTCTAGTGGAAATAAAATATCAAAGTGGTCCTAATATGCTAACCATCTTTCCTGAAGGGGTTTATTTTTTATTCCAACGAATAGAGCGCACAAGTGCAACCCTTTTATAATGGACTCCGCGGGACTGTGACAAATAGTCTATTATAGGCGGATGTCCATCTTAAAAGAAACACTTTTTTATGAAAAAAGCAGCTGAAATAACATATTAAAAGATTAAAATGTGTTTGTTTAACAGGTATTACATAAATAAAGATACATACAAAAAAGTTATACGTAATTTTGACATTTGCATTTTTTCAGAATCTGATACACACATTACAGGCATACATACTGTGTGAGTATGTGTAAAAACCGTAAATTATTTGGTAGTAAAGCTAATAATTTTCATTTGAACAGATTGTTTTTTGTATAATTATTTAGAACAGCAAGTTGAATTTTATTTAATTTGGTAAGTGTGGCTGTATTGTCTTCTTCTTGCTGAACATAACGTTGCAACTTTTTTACGCAGTCTAATGCCTTCTTAGTTGTCACAGGAAGCTCTTCTTCATCATTGTTTTCTAGTGCGTCCTCCTGTTCGTTATCAACGGATCCTTCGTTAACCAAATTGGAGTCTGACAATTCCTGTGTTGCTATTAACCTATTGTCAACATTTACCTACTCATTAAATTTGTCTATATTCAGTAAACTATTAATTTTCAGTAAATCACTTAATGAAATTTCATCTTCTGGATTAAAATCGTTGACTATTTCAGCTACGTTGCTATGCTAAACCAGCATGACGAAAACAATTACGAATCTTTTCTGGAGTAACCAATTCCCATGCAATAGTAAGCAAATTTATAGCATCTAAAATGGTGACAGCTTGGGTAATGTTGACATCTTCTTGAAGCTCCATAAGTTTCATCAACATATATTTCCGATACATTTGCTTAAAACTTCAAATAACACCCTGGCTCATTGGTTGCAGAACTGATGTCACATTGGGTGGACAAAATTGAAGGTTGATGTTATTAAGTGAAATACTTGGATGAGCGGGGCAGTTATCGAGCAAGAGCGAAGTTTTACGATTTTTCTTAACAAGTTGAACGTCCCAGTTTTTTAAATATTCTTCAAAAATTGATGAAGTCATCCAAGCTTTATTATTTCCAACATAATTGACGGGAACTGTTTTAACATTTTTAAAACACCTGGGATTCTTAAATTTCCCTGAAATAAAAAACAGGTCATAAATTCTTTGCAGCACTGCCATTGAATATCAAAAAAATCAGAACATGAATTTCTATTCATTCACTTACCTATTATCAATAGTTTCCATTTTTAAGTACCAGAAGCATTAGCACAAATCATAACAGTTATTCGCTCTTTTGATAGTTTCCCTCCATTGCAAGTTTCACCTATTAATTTGTGAGTTTTATAAGGTAGCATTCTGTAAAATATACCGGTTTCATCTGCATTGAATACGTTATCATCTGAATAATCACTGGATATTACGGGCCAAACTTGAGAAATCCAGTCACTGGTAACGTTCTTGTCAACTGAAGCTGACTCACCACACATTTTTCCAAAAACAATGTTATGTCTTTTCTTAAACCTGTCTAGCCAACCGGAACTACATTTGAAGTAATCTCCAATCAATTTCCCAAATTCTTCAGCCTTTATTTGTAGCATAGGTCCACTTATTGGAAAATTATTAGCACGCTTTTGTTGAAACCATTTAAACAGCAAATCATTGACTTGGGGATGCAGCAATAGCCGCATTTTTTCTTTTGACTGTTTGATTTCCAGTCATTTTTAATTTATTCACGGATTTTCCAAATATGTGAGACAGTGGATTTTTTATAGCCATACGAGCTCATATATCATTGTGAACTTTTCGTGTAAAGTGAATGCACGTTTCGCACTTTTCGACATGTTTATAACTCTAATAAATACAGTATAACACTGGTGGCCAAGTTCGAATACAAACTGCGCAGCCAAACCGCTGTAAACGATTGTATGATCTAAATCTGCTTCGGGGAGCTACCAAAAAAGCTCGCATATAATGGTTCAAAATAGTGCCCTATAAGCGAGGGTCTATTTTAAGCGAGTCTATAATATCCGAGGATTTTACATGCAATTACTTATAGGACCTTAAATTGTGTCGATTATATACGGGTTTCCATTATAAGCAAGTTCATTATAAGTGGATTCAACTGTAGTTAGATATTTAACTCTGATAACAAACTTCATCACACCGTCATTGTGATATAATACTACTTTTCGGGAACTACCTCCTTTGTAGGTATGTTTCTCCCATTTTGAAGGCTGGTAAGTGGCGAAATGGAAGTGAAGATTGATACGGCTTGCAATAAAATTTCTTTTGAGCCGTTTGCGGTGTAATTAATTCCATGGGCACCCATTAGGGTCATATGCCACCCTTGGCTTCTCTTGAGAAGTAAAGTATAGCTATTTTTTTTTGTTTCCAAAACATCCGCAAAAATTAGCTAGCTAGACCTGAATTACGGAGATCGCCATTTTGATGTTTTTCATTAAATTGAAGAGGACAATTTCCAATCACCAGCACCTAACCTTGAAATTTGGTATAAGGGCGCCCATGATCAACTTATCCAAATTTTCATAAATTTTTTTGGGCTGGCAGTATAATTAATAGAAACGCATCTTCTAAGTCTTCTGGGCACTTTCGAGTTGGTACTTTGAAAACATTCAGCATCAGTAACGACATGCAACGAGGAAGTTTTGTCAAATCCACCGGAATCGTTTTTCCCATAACAATAGTGCCTGGTCGTTTCTATTACTTCTGATTTTTTTCGAACATCCCTTTATAATGTTTTCTAAGGTTGTGGATCGATTTGTTCATGAGAGAATTCAATAATTCATATGTTTTATTTTTCCAATCATTTTTGTATGAAGTCAAACAAAATTTCAAGGCAAAGAACGCAACAAGGCCTGACATCAATAAATGGTGAATGTTATATGTACGTATATTTATCGTGCGCATCCACCAATTTTCTTAAATATTTAATAGGATTGCAGCTATTACAAGATTTGAAGTCTAGAATGCCAAGTTAAAGCTGGATGTTTGGTACAGCTTTCTCATTCTGTTGTGTATGCACATTAAGTAGGAGAGAAAAAGTAATACTGACAAATATATTTTTATGAAATATGAACAACTCGGCTGCAGCAATTGGAAAGAATGAAGTTTTAGCTGTTGCACCAAGACGAGTCTAAGGACAACTCGAATGTCAAAATCTGTCAAACTGTGGTCCGTGAAATAAATATTGCAACGTTTAAATTATCGACTAACATCCGTCATTTTGGTTTTATAAAATTTTAATATACCCAGTGTCACTTGCACTGTCAAGACAGATCTAGAGATATCTTATATGTCAAAATCCATAAATCCCTTCAAGCTATAGCCCGTGAAATAGAAATTGTAAAGGACTCCGCACAAAACATTCAGAAAATGGGTCCCAGTCAACTTGCCTAAAAATTCAGTATGATGTATTTTTTACCTTCCTGAACCAAAGGTCTGATGACACTAAATCAATCATATGATTAGCTTTTGAGAAATCGGAGGATGAAGCTTGTCCCATTTGAAAAAATGGTGAGTGTGGAAAGTGTAGTTCTGAGTCCAAACAGTCGGAGAATTATAATCGAATATATACTTGATTAAGAAACCTTGTAGGAAGATGTTGGGAGATATCATGTTGATTTTGACCATGATCCTTAGAATGTGGGTTTATGAAACGCGCAAATGCAGCACTTGTACTGTACTCAAAGATTGCCTTATAGCCTAGATCGTCGGTAAAAACAAAAGAAGTAGAAATATAAGTTGCAACAACTTAAGCAATGTGAACTTGATTTGACCTTGTGAAGGTCAATCGAAGACAAGTAAACAACCACGACCTTTGGAACGCAAACAATTGAGTTCTCCAGATTCTCGAACAAGTCGGGCCAGATCTATTCCAAAATTAGCTTGTAAAAATCAACTTCTCCTTATATGTATTGACCTTGTAAGGATAGTAGTCAACATTTAAGTAAAACGCGTCTTCCAGTTTTTGATCTCAAAACTACAATCGGCAAATTCAACATTTTTGCAAATCGGACAAACTGTATCCTTCTATTTCTCATAAAGTAATTATACGATATTGCTTTGGTACCATGAGAACTTTTATCCAGGAAGATGAGAAATATATCATACTGAACTCCTAAACAAATCGACAGGGATCCATTTTCTATACGTTTCGTGCGAGGTCCTTTGAATGTCCGATCAAAATCCGCCATTTTGATATTATTAAATTCATAGAAATTTTGTATAGCCAGTGCCACTCACACTGTCCAAACAAAGCTAGACAGACCTCATATGTAAGAACCATCAATCCATTCAAGCTTTAAGCTTTGGTCCGTGTAATAGAAATTGCAAAGTTGAAATTTTCGCTTCAGTCACGCTATTTTGATTTGGTGCAATAATAATATACCCATTGTTACTCGCACTGCCAAGACAAATCTAGTCTAAGCTGCAGTTCGTCTGATAGAAATTGCTAAGTTGATATTTTCGATTAAAATACGCAATTTTGATTTTATAAAATATATATATATATATATATATATATATATATATTTACGAGGGATGTCTTTTAAGTTTACAACACGGTAGGTAGTTTTAAATCACTTTATTGTTTTTCGAAGTATTCTCCACGAAGATTAATACACATCTGCATGCGCTCGAACCAATTTTCGAAGCACTTATTCCACTCGTTTGCTGGCAGATCCAAAACGGCATATTTGAATGCGTCACTGCTTCTTCTGGTGACTCTAACCTTTGACCACGCAGTCTGTTTTTAATTTTCGGTGAAGTAAAGAAATCGTTAGGACTTAGATCGGGACTATATGGAGGATGGTCCAATAATTCCACGTTTTCTTCCGTTAAATACTGCCTTGTTCTTTGGGCTGTGTGCGAGCTTGCATTGTCTTGGTGGAGGATGATTCTTCTTTCGGGGTTGATTTTTCGAAGCTCGGTGATGACTTTTGGCAAATAAATAGAGGTATACCAATCCGCAGTAACAGTTCTTTGCTCATTAAGAGGAATTGTTGCAATATCACCCGCTTTTGATACAAATGTTGCGACCATCTTTTTCGAAACACTTCGAGAACAGATGACTTTTGTTGTCTTTTCTTCACCTTGGAACACCCAAATAGCCGACTGTCGTTTATTTTCTGGTTCATAACATTAAATTCACGATTCATCACCACTAACAATGCTGTTTACATTTTTTGAGTTTCCGGAATTTAAACGGTCAAGCGTTTTTTGACACCAATTAACCCTGGCTGCTTTCTGCTCCGTCAACAGGTGGGGTATCCAACGAGAAACTAATTTTCTTACTCCTAATTCTTCATGTAAAATTTTTTGAATTGAGGCCTTTGAGATCTTCAAGGACGCCTCAATCTCGCGATATGTCACATGTCTATCTTTAATGATGAGTTTGCGCACAGCATCGACGTTTTCCTGGGTGACTGCCGTTTTTGGTGCACCCTGGAATCGTCCCTAAGACTCACCCGTCCACGTTTGAATTCTCCATACCAACGGGAAGGTATCGACTGATGAGGCGCTTCGTTGCCGAAAACAGACAGTAACTCAGCAAGGCATTCTTGTTGCGATAATTGTCTCTGAAAGTTGTAATAAATTATGGCGCGAAAATGTTCTCGGTTGAGTTCCATTTTTCTAATGACTTTGTGACACTTAAAAATTCACTGTAGTGAGAACACTGCACGTATTGTTGTGAAACTTTCAATTCAAGTTTACTAAAGAGTGAGGTTAAGATTCAGTACTGACGTTCGATCCGCGCGGCCAACTATGTTTCTATATGCAAAACTTAAAGGACATCCCTCGTATTAAATTGGAATATATAAATACATACATGCATACATACATATACAACTATTCACACATACATGCATACCTTCACAGTGCACGCACACACACAAACACAGATTGCAGAATGACGTTCTTACAACCACTTGTTTCTGTTTTCAGATTGTAAATTTTCCATTTGCACGTTAGCGCAGCACATCTTACCTCTTTGGCTGTATGAGAATCCACCTGGCTCAAGTTGATATTAAGCAAAGTCGTCTGAACACGTTCAGCAATATTTTCAGAAGCCTTATGAGAGCAATCGCAAAAGATATAAAGAAGAGTCATACAATATACTGCGTCGACTAACAAACCTAGCTCTTTGAATGAGAGTGTTACTCCATTTTCTATCGCCTCAGATGTAAATCCATACACCTAGAAAAGGGTAAGAACTTTGTAATCAAGATTCGTCCCTGGATTTGACTAATGTTACATTTGAAACTTATCCTCCTATTTCATGCTGGGTGTCCAGAAGAAGGCGTCAAGCCGTAAACGGGAGATACCATAATAGTAATAGTAATGAGATATAAAAAAGTTAAAGTCGTGTACTTTTCAAAATATGGGCTTTAAAGAAATCTGAAAAATCTACACCATTTGAAAATGTTTTGGTTCTCATTAGTAGAAGGAAAATTTGTGGGAACTGGAAGATCATCACAGAGTGTAGATTATTCCGATTTCTATACAGGGTGTTTCAGTTTATTGTTGCATAACTTTAAGATTCGATAGAACTTTTAAAATTAATGCATAAAGTCTATATAAACATGGGTCGAAAAATGCGTGGCTTCCGAAATACAGGGTGTTAAAATTTACTTTCTAAAATAGTTTTTTTTAAATATTTCGAACAATATTTGATGTATAACAGTGAAAATTGGTATACAAGGGTTTTTGGTACGACAAAACGAACCATAGTTTTACTGTAGCCGCTAGAGGGCGCTCTCTACTGTACCTGTAGTGTATTAAAATGACCAAAACATTTTTCTTAGTGCTATTTTTTGCTTTTTGAATAAAAAAACTGATTCTTCGCACTTTTCAACTTAAAAAAGCTCTCTTGTGAATTTTCGTTATAGTTAGCCGTTTTTGAGATATTTCGATTTTTAAGGTTCGATGCATTTTTAATTATTTATGATAAAATAACGTTAAAAAGTCAGTATCTCGATAATTTTTAGAAGTAGGCTGAGAATGCAAATATTTTTGAAATTGAAAGCAGAATAAGGTTAAACGTCAATTAGTTGACAGTTAGTTTTGTTGTCTGTTGAAATCTGAAACGTTTTTTGCAATTGTGAATGCACGATATTTAGTTTCGTTTACCTGTTTTTTTTTTGTAAGTTTTATAAAAATGCCATTTTTATTCTCCAATCAAGAGTTAGCGGATATTCATTTTGTGTATGGCTTTGTAAATGGAAACGCAACAGAAGCAGCCAGAGAATACGCACGAAGATTTCCAAACAGACGACATACAACTCGCTCAGTATTTGTAAGAGTGCATCGGCAAATAATTGAAAATGGTTTTGGAAATCTCCAAAGGGATCAAAACATAAATGTTCGTCAGCGCAGATTTACCCGTATGATTCTGCGTGAGTTTGATAGAGATCCGACCACAAGTGTTAGGAGAGTTTCTGGTGTCTTGGGAATTTCAGCAAGCCATGTTCATTGTGTTCTTAGAAATGACCATAGACGTCCTTACCATTTGCAACCTGTGCAAGGACTACAGCCAGGGGACGGAGAACCGTAATCGACTATTTGGACCCTACCTTTTGCCTGCAAAGTTAAATGCTGCGACCTTCTTGGAATTTTAACAGGCTGAACATGCAAATATGTGGGATGATGTTATGTTAGATTTAAGAAGATTGGCCTGGTTGCAGCTTGTTGGTTGTCCAGCTCATTATTCGAGAATAGTTAGAAACTGGCTGGACAAAAATTATCCAGAAAGATGGATCGGCCGTGGAGGACCAGTCGCCTGGCCTCCACGATCCCCTGACCTAAATCCATTAGATTTCTTTGTGTTTGGATTTCTAAAAGAAAAAGTGTACCAATGCATGTGATGAAATAAGGCCTTATTTGAATAATGCTATACCACGTTCGATCATTCGTAGATGTGAATCGTGTATTGAACAATTGGGTTTACATTTCGAGCAACTACTTTAGATTTTGTATATTTGTCCTAACTATCCAATAGCATTTTAGTTGTAAATAATTAATTTAATTTGTTAAAAATAATATTGGAAAATTAAACAAATTAATATTCTGTTTTTTTTTTGTGTTTATTTGGAGCTGGGAATTATTGCTGTGTTTAAAAACACAATCTAAACGATCATCTTAATTACTTGTAATGCCCAAATCGAAAATGTAAAAAAACATATTATGTTCCCATAAATAATTAAAAATGCATCTAACCTTAAAAATTGAAATATCTCAAAAACGGATAACTATAACGAAAACTCACAGGAGAGCTTTTTTATGTTGAAAAGTGCGATGAATCGGTTTTTTTATTCAAAAAGCAAAAAATTGCCCTAAGAAAAAATTTTCGGTCATTTTAATACACTACAGGTACAGTAGAGAGCGCTCTCTAGCGGCTACAGTAAAACTATGCCCATGGTTCGTTTTGTAGTACCAAAAAACTCTTGTGTACCAATTTTCACTGTTATACATCAAATATTGTTCGAAATATTTAAAAAAAACTATTTTATAAAGTAAATTTAAACACCCTGTATTTCGGAAGCCACGCATTTTTCGACCCATGTTTATATAGACTTTATGCATTAATTTTAAAATTTCTATCGAATGTTAAAGTTATGCAACAATAAACTGAAACACCCTGTATATTTTGAAAAGTACGCGACTTTTTTTATATTCTCGATGATTTGGCCTATATCCCATTTCCGACTTGGTGTGGACTCTGCCACGCAACGCTGGCATCAGTTCGTATAGGATTATGTTTGTCATAAGTTAGCCCCTGAGGGAAAGGTTTGCTACGAACATGTATAACAAAAGATTAAATAACGTTCCTCTTCCCCATGAGAAAAATCCATGCGGGCGCATATGATCGTTGCTATGACTAATCCCGCGAGGATGACGATACTGTGTGTGATTAACTATTCTAGGCCTACTTAAAAAAAAGCGATAGCTATCGTGGGAAGTAAAAATCAACTATTGGATGTAACAAATAAAAAAATTATGTGTGTACTCACAGCGATCGTGATATTGGTGATCATAAATAACGAGTAAGTAGAGTAAGTCCGAGCATATGCGTTTCCCAGTTTCTGTAAAACGTCGCTCAGTTCGAGCCATAAACTTCTGTATCGGGAGATAATATATGATGTGCAGTGATATTCGATATCCTGAAATAACGTGATATATAGTGAATGTCGGAAGGCTGATATGCATCATTTTATCATTACGCTTGCACGTGCTTGTATCTTCTCTATTTACACAGACGATATAGTATAAATAATGAAGGTCTCATACGGCGGATACTTTATATGCTTAGACAAAGTCTGCAAGATAAAAGGAGAAAATCATATACTGCACTACATAACTCAAAGCGTATGGATACGATCTCTATGTTCTAAGCATCGAATATATTCAAGGGGTTTCAAGGAATACTGACATTTCGAATACCGACTTGGCATATACGTGAACTAGTGAACGGTCTATGGAAAGAACTGGGGAATGAAGCCTAAGCAAATGTTTTGACTTTATACCATGGTTATTATACCTATGGATCCGTAGCTTGGTGGGGCAAGGATAAAACTGAGCGCAATACAGAGAGAAGCTTGTATGTTGATCACTGGTGCCTTTCATAACACACCAACTGCAGCTGTGGAGGTCCTTCTTAATTTAACACCCTTGCACATGTACCTGGAAGGCCAGGCAAGAAGGACATCTTATAGACTACATCAAGTGGCAAATGGTATAATGGATAATATCACTATGGAGGACTTACAAAAGCACCACAGTCTGGGAATGAAAAAGATAACAAGATATGCTAAACCATACTCAGCGACAATTCCACACAGGAATGAGTGGGAACAGCAAGATAACCTGATAAGGAAAGATATCTGGGCATACACAGATGGCTCCAAGATCGAGGTAGGTGTTGGAGCTGGTATCTTCGTGCAGAAGCTAAGGATTAAAAGATCTGTTAGCCTAGGAACCTGGACATCGATCTATCAGGCAGAGCTATGTGCTATAGAACTGGGTGCCAAAATGATCGTAGAATGACAACTGAGGCACAGAACTATAATTATCTTTTCATATAGTCAAGCCGCACCCAAAGCACTTGACTCCATCTACCCGACATCGAAATTAGTGTGAAATTGCAAAGAAGCTCTCGGTAGCATAGGTGAGGGAAATGAAGTCGGTCTCATATAGATACCAGGACACACAGGTCTAGAGGGAAACGAGACAGCTGGCACTCTGGCAAAGAGTGGGGCTAGCACACGCTTCATTGGGCCTGAGCCAGCGATTGGAATTGCATACAATACGGCTAAACAAATAATCTCTGCAGAGATGGACAAAGAAGGTAACAGACTCTTTGCTACGGTTGAACAGGGATAGCCTCAAAGCTCTAATAGGACTGTATACTTTATCTGAAGTCACTTGAAACACTGTGAAATACCGGGTGCGTTTTATATATCTATATTTAACACGCTCTGTTGCTGCAAAAATCGCCAAATTTTGCAGCAAATATCACCCGTATAAGATCAAAGGCAGTTTCACCGGTCCACGTGGAGTAAAGCACGCCTATGCGTGGACATAGCCAATGAGAAAGCGTGTATTTCAGAGCTCCGAACAAGTGCAGGTGGCTACTGAAAATTGAAACAGTTTAGCCAGTGCCGTGTAGCGATGAATAAACGTGTTTTCTTTAGTCTGTCCGTGTTTTTTCATAGATTTTATTAGTTTGTGTGTTTTTGACTTTTGAATACTCAGTTTACTTGTTGATTTAATTGTTGTGTTGATTGTTCTTGTGTGTCCTAAATATGGCTCTTTGGAGACCTTGGGAAAATGCTCCAAGCCACGAGGAGATGGTTGATGAACCTGTGCAGGCAGAATTCTTTCATAAAGATTTAGAGGAACAGACCCAAAGAGTAATCCTAAATATGTATGATTGTCTGAAAGACGAAAATCCAGATTCCTCGCAAAATCAAATTTTAAACAGAAATTGTATCCTGACAAAAATCAGTCGGTCTACCATTTATCGGGTTATAAAAAGGGGAGATGTAGTCAACCATTCCTTCCACAGAAAGCGCATAGGGCAAAAATTAAAAAGAATAGACGTGGGTTTTCAGGAAGATATTCGTCGTATAATATACGGATTTTATAAAGAAAATTTGGTGCCCACGTTGGAAATGATACGGGATAAATTAAAAGATTAT